ACCGCCAAGAAATTGCTCGAGCAATCCGAAGCCAATGGTGATAGCACGGTGTGTTTATGTTTTTGGTTTCTCCCCCCCCCCCGCTCTTTTTTTAATCTTTTTTTTTTTTATTGTTTTCCTCCGGTGCCGACTCGTCATTGAATCGCTGATAGCATATGTGGTGGAGGCTGATCTGGTGGAGCCACTCAAGGCACACCTGGCTCAACACGCCCAGCATATGAAGCCATTGGGCAAGGCATTCCTTGAAGCGAACACAGAACAAGGCCTCGGCACCATGCTGCCGGCACTGGCTGCTGGCCTGAGTCAACTGACGCGGTACCACACCCAGCTGGCCTCCTTGATGACAGCTTATCTGCACGGCGAGTCCGCCTCCTCCGTGTGTCCAGCCTCGGTGGGCGGTATGAACAACAGCCTGGAGGCAGAGTGGGGTCGCCTTGCTTCGTCCCTGCAAGCGCTTCGTGAGGAAGTGTCCCCAGAAGAGCTTTCCACGGCTGCACTAGCCCCCGCCGATTGGACCCGCATCATTGATGCGGTGCTGCTGGTATCACAGCACTTGGACAAGCTGCAGGCCGTCCACACATCAAAGTCGCAGCTGCAATCACGAATCCTGCCGCAGCTGGTGGAGGTCATGCCTCGAGCTTGGAGTCGTCTTACCTCGATCACTCACGATCTGACGGCTGCTTTACGCCGGCAGAGCCACCATTGGACAGGCCAGACCTTGGCCGTGGCTGGCTTGGCGCAATCACCATTGCAAGCCTCAGACAGTCCAAGAGCCCATATTCACGAGCCATTGCTGCACGCTGCTCGCCACCGACGCACACGCCTGCTGCATCGCTTGCATAGCCCACGGTCCGACACCTTGCACCGAGTCCATGTGGGTGCGGCAGATACGATGGCGCAAGCAGAACTACAGGCGACTCTTCAGTTGGAGGTGAGTACTTGCACGTGTGGCTGCCTAGGCTTGACTGACCGCACCGAGTCGTGCCTGCTGACTGATCTGTGACTTTGTATGCAAACATTCTGATCTTTGCTCTCATTTTTGCCCATGCGATTGGCCTTGTTGGGACCGAACACAGCGTGATGCTGCCCAGGAACAATTGGAGAGTCTCAAGCAGCAACATGAGCAAGTCCTCTTGGAGGTGGGTTGTCTTTGTGTGGCTTGCCCAAGCCCACAGGCTGCCTCATTGGATAGGCTGCCTTGTGTGGCGTCTATGGCTCGGTGCTTGTAGATGGAGTTGCTCAAGATTCGCCAGGCAAAGGCGACCAAGACCTTGGGCGTCGAGGGCGAAGAACCCGTCTCGGGCTCGGTGAGCAAGCATTGCATCCATGATGCGACGGCATTTGTCCGTCACCCGACTTGCACTCACGCGTCCTGATGTGATGTAGGCTCTTGAGCGTGAGGAGCTCATTCGTGGCCATTATACATCTCGGGTTGCATACTTAACCTCACAGCTGCAGTTTGCTGATAGCAAGGCCCAGGCTTACTACGAAGAATGCCGGGCCCTAACGTTCAAGGTGGGTGTGGTATTGCCTTTGAATCGTCCTTGATGTAGGGTTGTGGGGTGTGGTGTTATGGAACACCATTGGCCGCCGCTGCTGTTTCTTGATCATCTTCACGATTGCTAATGATACTGCTTTTGTCTCTCTTTCGATTTTTGGGTTTCCTTCGACGGGATGGAGAACAGCTGTCGCAACAACACGACAAGCTGTCTTCAGCTCAGGGAGACCGCAATGTTGAGGTGCGACAACTCAAGAAGCGTGTTCTGGCTCTGGAAGAAGAACTTTCCACCACGCAGACCAACTATGAGAAACAGGTACTGCTGCCATTCGTGCACCCGGAGACGCTTGGTGCTCGGAAGAAAAAGCAAGGGCCTTGGATGATTGCATTGCCTTGTGGTCTCATGACGGGCGCTGGTTGCATTGCCTTGTGGTCTCATGGCGGGCGCTGGGTGCGGCATCTTGCGTGTAGATTCAAACGCTGACGGAGACGCTGATGGCGCTCAACGATCAGTTGTCGCAGCGACAGGACCAGATTGACGCCCTTCAAGGCTCCCATGCAAGTGACGAGACTCGCACGGGCCGCAAATGGTTGCGCAATAGTGAAAAGAACAGTGGTCGAGCATAAGGAGGCGGGGCGAGTTGCTTCCCTCTAGCATCCACCAACCAGACAGCGCGTCTCATTTTGAGCACGAGCTCAATTAAAAAAAAAAAAAAAACTTCTTAATCGATTAAAAGGCGCGACTATTGCAACGAACACCACATTGAAAGGGACCGAAGTATAAAGGGCTGGCCCTAAAAAGTACAGAGCCACGCAGCTGGCATGGCTGCGTGGAGAGTGCCTGTGTACATTGGCACCAGCAAAGCGTTTGGCTAATCAACCCTGGTGGGATCTATGGAACAAGATGAAGTACATAGGGTACTGGGGATGCGGTTTATAGAGGACGACTACTTCTTCTTCTTCTTGCCGCCTTTTTTACCCTTTTTGGATTTTTTCGCACCGCTACCAAACTTGCCCGCAAGGGGCCAAGAAAAGCCTTTGCGACTCAATAGCTCCTATGTTGGAGATGTCACAGGTCAATGAGAACAGACGAAGATGGAGCCAAACAGAAAATGTGAACGCTCGGGAGGCTCGCAAGAACGGCTTTGGCGCTCAACTCGTACCGGCACATCATGAACCTCCCAGATATCCAAGTCATACTCGTAGCCTGTGTTGAGCGGAACGACCTGAGTCTTCTTGACCTGTCATGATCGTGACATGTGCCACAAAAAACAAGGCCAAGCGTCCCAGGCGGACCCCAGAAGGACATGGAAGGCCGATGAGATGAGAGGAAGCGAGACAACCGGGAAAAGGTCGGTGGGCGGGAATCGTACCTTTTTGCCCTTTTTGCCCTTTTTCTTCCCCTTGGCGCCCTTCTTGCCCTTTAAGGCCTAGCAATGCCGCTAATGTGAGTGCAGGGCCTGAAGCATTCAAAGCGAAAAGCCGGCATGTTCCAGGCAATCCCTTCAAAAGGGTCACGCACGTACCATGACGCGTGTCGCCCGTGCGCAGCGACTGCTGCGCGGCAGCTGGTGACCGGATCTCCTCCCTCGTCAAGGGCCGGGACCATCTGCTCACTCGCTCCAGCGTGTGCCAACAGGTCAATCAAGTCGCCAACATACACGGGTATCAGGACTGCGGCAGGCGAAGATGATGGATGATTGCGAGGGTCAGCCTGAAAGCAACTCTGCCATCTCTCACGGCATGAGCAAACTTCAATGTGTGTGTGTGTGTGTGTGTGTGTGTGTGTGTGTGTGTGTGTGTGTGTGTGTGTGTGTGTGTGTGTGTGTGTGTTTGCTTTGACGCTGTGTTGTTGTTGGGGTGTAGATCTGATCGTCAAGTGGAGCTGCTAAAAATAGACAAATTTTCAAGTTTATTTATAGAAGTGAAGCGGGATCGGTCGAGTTTGAGAAAGATTCGCACCGCCGTTCACGAGATGCAAAAGAGATAGATCGGATAGCATTGAGGTATTTGATTGGCTACGTCCCTTATTATCACGCATTTAGTAAAAGCAGAAGGAAAAAAGCAAAGAAAAATGAAAGTCCACACTAAAACTTGGAAGAACCCGCATCAGCGACAGCAGGCCCTCATCGATGTGTTCATAGGAAGAGGGGGTGAGGCGAAGCGAAGATAATCAGAACCAGCTCGGCAAAGAGCGGCAGAAAAGATAAGGAGAGGGAGGGGGAAGAAGGAGAGATGAACCACGACAGCAATCGAGACGGTGAAATAAATGGCACGAAAGAGAAGATGCAGACAGAGGCGCCTTTCAAAATCGAAGCAAACCCTCCCTTGAGGGACCAAAGCACAAGGCGATCAAAGTTCCAGAATTGCAAAAGACTTGTGTGCTGAGGTTGCCTGGCCAACAGTTGGGATGCGTGCAGAGGCACCCGGACCCAACCCTGGACCTGGCATCAACCGCCTGGCACGAGTTGCACTCCGAAAAAGTACCAAAAACAAATATTACACACAAAAGCCAAGCACATGGACAACAAGTGGGACTTGGGATGTCAAACAACACGATTGCCCGAGGGGCACACGAACAATGAGAAAGGCGCACAGAGACAGAAACATGACACGATGAACACAAGACGTCAAAATTTGGGGGACACGAGAACACAAAATGGAACAGAGGGAGGGGGCATGGGAGTGCATGGAAAGAAGGAAAGAGACAAGGAGAAAATGAAGGCGAGAACTGGGAAGGGGAAAAGGGTGGCCCGAAAAAAAAAAAAAAAAGAATGTGGGAGGAGGGGGGAGGCACATATCCATAGCCGTATCCATGAACAAGGAGGTAGGTAACATTGCATTGTCGAATCGCTTCTCTAACCTAAAAGAGAGGTTGTCGGCACATGACGAACAGACACGCGAACTTCAGGAAGAATGAAGCTCCCGGAGACCAGGTAAAAGGAGTGGTGATGAAAAGAAAACGGCTTGCTAAGCGCCGTCCGCGCAGTTGCTGATCCTGGTTGCTCGAGCTGTTGCTCATGTTCTTCATTTGTTTTGTTTTATTTCGTTTTTGAACATTTTCTTGATGGGTTTCGTTTCTTCGAGATACTCGTGGTGAACAAGGCGAGTCCTTGCTCAGCCAACGATTGCTGACTTCATTTACCAAATACCCTTGTTCCATCCGCTCGCGGGAGGATGCGCTAGGTCATCACGCTCAGGCACCGTGCCCATGGAAACCCAAGCAACACCACCCGGGGGTTGGCCCATGTTGGGGGTGGGTTGACCCCAGCCGCCGTTGCGTCCCTGCGCAGCTGACTGTGAGGGGGCAGGAAAGGTGGGCATGTCCTGGCGTAGGGTGGACAGGTCAAACGAGTGACGGTTGCGACGTGTCATTGATGGCGCCGCCAAGTTGCCGGTGCTGCCTGCGCGCCACACCGTGGGTGGGCCGTGCATACCGGGACCACCGCTACCCGGGGGCATAGCGGCGTACGGTGCGCCGCGAGCCAGAAGGTAGACCGCGGGATCGTCGGGCACAGACATGCGACGACGGGAGCGTGGGCTGTTGTTGGGGCTTTGACCGGCCTTGAACGTGATGTGCTGCTTGAAAGGGTCCAAAAAGGAGATCTTGATGCGCTCGGCGTAGCGCGCGATGAGGTCGCGAAACTTGCCGCTGAGCGATTGCTCCCAGGACCAGATGCGTACGTCCCAGCCGGCTTGCAAGGCCGTCTCCGCGAGTTGGGGGAACGAGCCGTACTGTCCCGACTCGTTGCCATCACCCGTTGCCAGGACCAGGATCTGCGGTTGGTGGTGATGAATGCGAAGCTGCTCGGAGATGGCGGCGTGAAGCGCGTCATCGCTGCCACCCTGCCGACTGGAGAGGAAGACATGATACTCGTTGTTTTCCCACTCGTGCCAAATGCGCGAGTTGGCAGCAGCGGTGCCAGTGACAGCTCGGTAAGCACAAGGCAGACCTCCCTCCACGACCTCGCAAAGCGTCCGAATGTTGACACGGACGGCAAGATCACGCACGTTGCCATCAAGCTGAGCACCGATGAAAATGTTCGAGTTGTCGATGAAAACAAATGCCTTCATGTCACCCACGTCTTCGGGGGTAGTGGTGGTGGGGCCAAAGATGGACTGGGTGGAAGCGGAGCGACGGCTGAGGCGCGGTGACTGTGGCACAGACGAGGATGGAACGCGCGAGTCGTGGGCCGAGCGAGTGGCAGCCGGTGACATGGGCGCAGAGATGGACTGGCGGCGATAGTGACTGTTGGGACCGTGGCCGTGGTTGTGATTGTGACTGCCGTTGGGATTCTCGTGACCAGCATTTGCGTGGGCAACACCAACGTGATCATCGTAGGGCTCCTCGGCCACGTGCACTGAGGGATTGGCACCGGCGCCGGGACCGTATCCAACATTACGCATCGATGCTTCGAGGCGAGGGAGAATGACCTTGCCCAGGTGCTCCATGGCTGCGGTAGCGTGGACGACGGCATCGCGGGTACCCCGCACCAGAATTTCAGCCACACCGTCGGTGGGGTGGGTCTCTGAGCAGCATGTCACAAAGCTGACTTGAGTGTGCTGTTGAAAGGCCTTGAGCATGGAGCCACTTTTCAGCAACAGCCGCACGGCGCGGGCGGGTACGCGAATGGTGGCCTTGGTGGGCTTGGGCTGCCCGTGGCGGCAAGCCTCGGTCATGGCCATAACGAGGGCTTCCTCAGGCAGGCCCAAAAGTTGGACGGTGGGGGAAGCAGCACGCGAGGTGTGAGCCGAGGCTGGCTCAGAACGATAGCCCCAGTGAGAGCCTTGACCATGGGTTCCAGCTGCGTCAAACCCCTTGTCTTCGAGGGCCTGAGCGGCTGCTGTCAGGACGGCCATGTCATCGTGCCAACCTCCTTGCACCATGCGATGGTGGGACGAGCCAGAATTGGCGTGGATGGCGGTCGGGGCCATCACATTACCAGATGGCGGGGCTGATGAGACAGCACCGTTGGGACCGGTGGCGGATGGGGGAACGGCCATGATGCTGACGGGCACGGGTGTGACGGTGGCGGGGTTGGGAACAGGGGTAGGGGTAACACCAGCCAGAGACTCGGAGAGACGAGTTTCTGGTGACAGCTCAATGTCGACTGGTTCGGACACGGCACTCAAGTTTTCGGTGGACACTTGCAGGCCCTCCACAAAGGCGTCACGGAGCAAGTCCGTGTCGCTTGAGCGCTTGATTGAATCTGGCACGTCAACGTGTCTCATGCCGAGCCTGAGCGGGAGAGCAAAAACAAACCCGAAAGCAAAAGTGAGAAGAGAACGGGAGCACAAAGCGGTGCAAAAGAGGGCCTCAGGCGCGGGAGCGCAAAGTGCGTTTGAATTTGAGAACCGAAGCAAAGGTGGGGCAGGCAGCACAAAAAAAAAAAAAAAAGAGAGAGAGAGAGAGAGAGAGAGAGAGAGAGAGAGAGAGAGAGAGAGAGAGAGAGAGAGAGAGAGAGATAAACCGCCATACAAGGCGACAGGTCTCAAGACAACTATGAACATGGATCGCTTGTCAAGGTGAGCATGTAGCCGTACCCGAAATCGAGGGGTGGGCGCAGCTGAGGGGGACGATCGGTGCAAGGAATTGTTCAGCTGGGAAAAGGGGGGCCGGCGAGCCCGTGGGAACAGGACAGTCGTGCAACAAAGTGTTTATTAGCTAGGTCGGAGACAAACTAGAATCGTTTATTGCGTCTGAACAATGGAAAGGCCCCTTGGCATGCAAAGAGGTCGACAAGGCAGCCTAGACGAGCACCACAACCAATAAGGTGAGCCAGGACGGAAAGCGCGATTCAGCAGGACACGCTGAGGGCTGCAGACCCTGAGACGAGTAGATCAATGCAACAAAAGATGTGCACACAAGCGCGCAAACAAGGCACGTTCACATGCACACACAGAAAAAAAAAAACGAAGAGAAGCACACAGGTGGCAGCGCCTCTTCAACGTCAGCTTGAAGGCAAGCAAACGATTGTGCCCAGAAACAGAGACACAAATCCACACCCACGCACGTGCAAGAGAAGAAGAGAAGAGGAAACAGAGCCCGAGCCCGAGCCCTAGCCCGAGCCCGAGGTCGAGATGAACGAAGCAGACGTGCACATGAGAAAAAAAAAAAAAAAGGAACCTCGTTATTCCAAAAAAAGGGCAGGCGAAAGAAGTTTTGACTCCTTTTGAACACGACCAAGACAATAGATGGCAGCGGCAGCAGCGGCAGCATCCAGATGGCAAGCACCAGAAGCAAGAACCAGGGCAGAAAGGGCAGTGCAGGCCCTCTGTGTGTATGTGTGTGTGTGCGTGTGTGTGGCTGGCAAGGGGAGGGGGGGGTATCGAGCGGGGAGGAGGCGCAAGGTGTAACCGAACGTTGTGTCGTTTCCCCTTACCGCAACCAAGCAACAACAAAAGTGAGCTGAAAAAAAAGCATTTGTGTGTATGTCTATGTGTGTGTGCATATGTGTGTGTTGGGTCACTGGCACTGCCAGCTCACTTATTCATACACTCAACAAAATCAGTAAGCACGACTCTCTCACTGTACTGCGCGCGTGGGGGGGCACTGCGCGAGCCGTTGCAAGCTGTGCAGGAAAAAAAAACCTGTGTCTTTTGTCTGACAAGTCACCCTGGCCGAATATAACAACGTGTGGTAGCGTGATATGCTCGGCATGTTGGGGTGGTTGTTAAGCAAGCGTGCGGGCCAACTCGTGGAATTTTGCGATGCGAAACTGTCGCCAACGTCACACTTTGACGTCATGACCCATGGCCAAGTGTAGCGCTCGTCTCACTTCTACTTCACCCATGCTCTTCCCAAGGTCCTGCAGAGGCTCAAGGTTGTTTTTTTGAAAGAGCAGCCACCCAAATTTTCTCTTGAAAACTATTGACATGTGACGACAGATTGGGCTAATGTCAGCATGTCATGGTTGAGTGGTGGGAATTCGAATGTCAGGCTGTTGCGACGCACAGCGTCTCACAGCGTCTCTATGGGCACTCTCGATCGCTTGCTTAGGCATGGTCGTCGGTGGCAGTGTGCTGGTGCGCCTTGAGTCGTTGGGCCGCCGTCTGTTGATCCAGACTCAGAACGTGAGCATGCAGCTGTTCCACTGCCTCGGGCATCAACACGTTCATGGCATACTGCCGGATGATGGCATGCAGTCGTGTGAGCGCACAGTCATCACCATCTCAGCACCTTGCCAAACACGGGCCAACGAATGTGCCCGTCCGAGGGGCGCGCACCTCCATGTACTTGAGCTTGCGTTTGCAAAACACGTCGATGATCAGCTGCTCCAGGTGGAGTCGCTGCCTCTCCATCAGGGCTCCAAAACACACCTAGACCGCAATCAGACAGCCAATGATGAGTGACTCAAGAGCTGTGAGGACACAAGCGCCTCACGCACTAGGCCACTCGGCCGACGAGGCTTTCTCACGTACATGAAACTTGAGATTGGAGCGACGGGCGCCCTTGGCTCGAAAGTCTTCGTGACGCCAACTCTGAACTTCACCCCGAAAAATCTGCTTCAGAGTCGGCATGATGACAGCCGCCACCACGTCTTCCAGAGCCAGGTTGCTCATTTTTTGAATGCTTGCCACTTGGGCTGGCGTCAGCGCTACGGCTGTAGCCGACCCATCTGCCGTCTTGGAAGACCGGTGCTTGGCATCTGACGCTGAAGCCGACGCGGCATGACCCGAGTCTCGCACCTCCCGTGCCACATCCATCGAGACGGTGCTAGCTTGCAGCGGAAGCCCGCCAGATGGCACGGCGTCAATGACCACGACGTCCTTTTCTTCTCCTGCTTCTCCTACTTCTTCTTCTTCTTCTTCTGCTTCTTCTGCTTCCGTCCGCCCCGCCTCACGACCATCATCCTCAATCACGACCTGGGACGTTTAGAAAGTCAGCGACATCAGTCAAATACCAAAACATCCTCCAACCAAGCGATAGAAAGGGAGGGCCACCAAAGGTGAGCAGCAGAGATGGCGGGGCAGCCAAGACCGGGCAGTCTGCTACAGCCTGGCTCTGGAAGACCGGCTATGGACGCATGGGGGAAGGGCTTTGATACACACCACGGAGTTCGTCGCAGAACGAAGCGGCGCTAAAGTTGAATCTCTGCCTGCTGTCTCGTCGCGCTTTGACACTTTGGGCTCGGGCTCTCCGACGCTCTCCGCGCCATCCTTTTCATCCTTTTTTGGAGTGGGCCGAAGCACGGCACGCAACCGGCACGCATCCAAATGATATAACCGATCGGGCCGCGCTGTGCCAGTCCTCGTTCGATCTACGTCACCAACAGAAACCAACCAAGAGGATGGAGCAAAATGGGATGAGAGCACATACACCAAGGGCCGTGAGCCCCACCCATAGGGGCTCGAGGGCTCCAACCACCGCGCACCAGTATAAGTCGTCCAAAACGGCTGGGACCGCAGCACGCATGGTGTAAAGTGTGCTGAGACCCCTGTGGTAGCCCGTAAGCATCATTCAGCACGCATGAGCCTGGTGTCGGCGAGACAGGAGCGCCAATTCGGAACGCGCAGCGACACGGCGGTGGCCTACCCTCGTCTGCAAGCGTGAAGGCGGGTGCACCCTCAATCCCAAAAGAGCCATCCTCAAACTGTCGCATCAGTTCAGACCTGAGGCGCTTTTGCAGGTTGGCCCAGATTCCAGGGTCCGTGTCGAACCATGCCGTGGTGCGCTTGGCCCCATGGCGCTGCACATACAGGTCGACCTGCAGAACCCGGCTCAACCCCACCTACCATCCAAATGCGTTTGATCAGCAACAGGGTGTGCAGAAAGCGTCAACCACTGGTCCCACCTGCCGCCATGTTCACGCACCTGCAAGAACCGCACGCGCCGCTCTGCACCATTGATCGACCGAGCTTGGGGCCCCGTTCCCGTAGCCCCTGCCGTCATGGCGCTCCCCAGCCGACCTGCGCAGGCCACCTCGATCCTGGAGAGCCAAACAGGTTGTTGTCGTGATTCTTGCTGTTTTCAACCGATATGAACAGCTCACCACGTCCTTGCCAAGGGCATACCCCCGGGTAAATGTTGCAGTTGAGCCGGTTCTTGTCGCTGTTTCTGTTGAGGGTACTGGCTGCAGTTGCTGTTGTTGCTTGTTGCTGTTGCTGTTGTTGCTGTTGTTGTTGTTGTTGTTATACACCTTGTAACTAAGCTTTTGGATACCAGTGCAAAAGCTCCTCGAGGGACGAAATCCATTGTCAGACAAAAACGGTACGAAAGGTGGGCGCAAAAATCGAGATTTGGTGCAAAAACATGCCTTTTTGATCTTTTTGAAGAGGAGCTTTTGCATTTTTTGACGGCAAGGCACAAAAGCTCGAGGGCGCCATAAACGGCAGTGCCACCATGGCTTCCCTGAGTGGAGACTCTGCGGTGGAGGAAGAATTGAAAAGTGCTTGTTCCCTATTGCAGATCCCCATCCTTGGTCGGTCAGTTAGTCCTGTGGAAGCATCAGAGCGCTGCCTCAAAGAGGTGATCGCTCGTGGCATGGAAATGGGGCTTCATCTTCGGCGGTCAACGGCAACTCGGAAGCTCAGTCTGAGGTGTTTTGACGCAGCTCAGCTGAACATTGTGTGCCAACGAAGGTAAGGCAGGTGTTGATTATTGCCTGTCTCTCCTGCGAGGCTATTCGTTCTCCGACTGTCGCCATTCAGCTTAAATCAACTCGTGGTTTTAGATTTCGAACGTTCGACCTGAATGACCCTTGGGCAGAAATGCAACTCGCTGCAAGGTCCACAACTGGCAAGATTGATTGGCTGACAGTCGTGGGTATCTATGAACGTGCCATGAAGCTGTGGTAAGCATTTTTGAATGGTATGCGCATTTTTCTGCCGATGCTCAAAAATGCTCTGGGATGATGGCAGGTTGTTCAGTGAGTTATCAATCACTCCGAGCGAATACACGCAGCTGCGTCGCAACATCTGGCACACCCTAGATTTGCCTGGCGCAAAATCTCGAATGGGCCCGCGTCACGAATGGTGGGGTGTTTTTTGGGATGTTACACAGCAATATCTGAGCGATGTCCAGAAGATTCCGCACACAGGCAATGCGGATCCAAGCAATGATTCGTCCGTGCCTCCTGGGCGTCGTGAAATTTGGGGCCGGTATAGTCAACTCCTTCGTACAATGAAGATGGAGCGTGAGACCGTCTTGCAAGCTGAGTCTCGTGGAAAAGAGCAGGCTGTCTTGCGTCAAGCAGTGCTCGAGGAGGCCGGACAGGCCACTTTGCATCGAGGTCACAGCGTGTTTCCTCTTGACAGGCAAAACCATGTTGCCGCACTTCCTTCTTTGACGCCGAGTCGTTCAGCATCAGAGGGCATTGATCACACACCTCATGTTGAGAGCAATGATGAGCAAAGCGTCTTTGCGACTGATGCGATCGCAGAGTCGCAACCGTGCGCGGAGCCTCTGGTATCCACCGATTTACCTCAGACGGCAGCATACCCCCGATTGGGCGAAGCAAGAACCGATCGGGCCCTCGTTGAAGATGAATCTTCCCATATAGGGATGAGACCAGGCTGGTTTGAAGGAGCCATCGGCGAGGCCCTTGTAACCTTGCGCCAGCCTGCCCTATCGCAACAGCAGCAACTTGTTGATGCTCTGAGGAGTGAGATGAAGGCAGACATGTCTGTCATGAACGAAAAGGTGACAGGCATTCAGCAGTCTATTGAAGAGCTCAAGTCGATTTTACTTGGTAGTGGACGGCAGGACACTTTGCCGACAACCGTAGATACCGGCAAGCGAACGATGCAGGAGACGCAAGCCCCGGAACAAACACAGCGCCGGTCTACGCGCGCCCGGTCATCGCAAAAGGAGTGACGAGAGTAAAATATTTCATGTTTGATCAACAGAATAAATTTGAATTCCTTCCCTTGATTCTTATCCAATCCCTGCCTTGTCAGACACATTCAGCGTTCCGAAGGAGATAGCGGCGCCATATACTCTGTCAGGGAAGGGATCGCCAACTTATGGCCAAAATACTGAGCAACGGGGTTGCTCTGGTCGTCACACACAATCATGTTGGTCAGCAATACTGCTGTGAGCATGTAGGCCGAAACTGGCCGCTCGCCAACCAACATCCGACGTGAATCTACAACGCCTTCAAAGCGCGATGCAACTCCATATCCGGAAGCACCAAAGGCCCACTCAATCACAATACGGAGCCGCCCAAGCTCAGCGTTTAGTGCCTCAGTTGTCGCCGTCCAACCCTCGTCACGCTTAGCGGGGCGTACCAGGCGTTTCGACCTAGGATACGCTGAGTCTCCCAGCAAGCACCATGGTGTTTCTTCGGGCCATACTCGCTTAAGGTTATCGAGCAAGCCCGATTGCTCGAGTATGTAAGCATCATGCCTCGGCCCTAGTGGAGTCAGTACGTTGAGGTAAGCCAGGTCCCGGCAACCAACATCCAAGTGAGCATCCGAATAGCCGGGCACTCCCTACCTCGCCATGGCCCGGCAAAACTGACGAGGACACCGTTCGGTGCCACAACACCTTGATAGCGAGTGGTGTGCTTCTACAAAATGTATAGTAACATGAGGCCCAGCACAAAAAAAAAAAAAAAAAAAAAGCGGGCGGCAGTCAACTCACCGAGTCTTTACCAGAGTAAAAGGCGGCCTGGTTGTCTTTTCCTTTAGGGCGCGCCAGGTTTTGACCAGTGCCGTCAATGAAGGCGCAAATTCCTGGCAATGGAGATCCTTTTGCGGCCACGGCAGCAACAGCGGCTGTGGTCCAGTCCGGTTGAAAGAAACGTGCATCAAAGGCCAACCGGCGCTGAAACTTTTTCGCCACGGCCAGCGCAAACTGATTTATGACTTGAGACATTTTGGGTACCGTCCAGGACACTCCCAAGGTGTGGATGGCGTCGATGAGGCGCGACGATCGGTGGAATAGAGCGAAGAAAGCGAGCAGGGCCTCCCGGAGTGGGACGGGCAGGTGCTCGTTGATATGGGGGGCCAGCGCGGCTGCTAGTCGCTCAAACTGCGCCGCATTTGTGAGTCCAAAACATTGTGCCCATGCCGTTTCTGTAAAACGAGCCAAGTTCACGTGAGGAGTTCCATTCTCAGCAATTACAACAGGCGGCCGCTCCAATTCACGAGTTGCATTCTTGACCATGTTTGTCGCCGCCAGGCAGAGGAAGAGGATAGCTTCGTCAGCATTAAAGTCGTCAGGGAGAAGACCGGCTCGATGCTCAGTCACCAAGCGGGCCAACGTCTGCAAAAAGAACGCCAACGCAACTTTTGACGCGTAATCCTTCCTTTTTTGAAAGATTGCCCGGCGAGCACTGGCCGAGAAGCGGCTATCTCGCAACAGGCGATCCGCCGAGACGATGGCCTCGCGCGGTCGAGGCATGACTCAGTAACGGTAAATTAGGTAAAGAAACCTTTGATTACAAAGGGTGCCACCGGAAGTGTGAAAAAAGTTTACACATGTTTTTGTGCCTTTTTGATTCACAAACGAAGGTCGCTTGCAAAGTCTCTGTTGTTGTTGTTGTTGTTGTTGCTGTTGTTGTTGTTGTTGCTGTTGTTGTTGTTGTTGTTGAATGTTTTCCTCTATTTTTTTGTTTTTTTGGGGAGTTTGAGTCAGTGTGGGCTTCTTTCAAGAATTTTATGACAGACGACGTGACGTGCTGATTGCGAGCCGGATTTCACTCTTGTCTGGTTGGAAGCGAGGGTTGTTGTGTGGCAGCCAAGGGTACCGACACCGGACAGTATGCGTGGGGTGGGCCCTTCTTTGATTCTGGTGGCTCTATGGGCTGCCATGGTTGTCGCCTCCACCTTCAACACCCCCAACGCACCCAATGTTCACGAGCCCAAGGTCCTGGTCCAGCAAGATGACGTCCTGGACAAGCTGGTGCGCCTCTATGAAGAAAAGGCAGGTGTCCGCAATCGACCGACCTGCCGTGGTACCTCGCGCTTGGGTTGGCCATGGTCCCTGCTGGTCTCATCCCTTCATTTCGGTCTGTGCACTTTTGTTGGCTCGGAATGATACTGACAGACGCATCGGGTCATGACTCAGTTGGCCGATGACCAATGGCCAGATCAGACTCGGCCAGAGGGCGATGGTTTTGTTTGGAGCTATAATTCAGGGTGGACGAGTGGGTTCTTCATCGGGCAACTGTGGCAAATGGCTAATCTCACCGGTAAATCGCGTGTGTTCTGGCCTTTAGCCCGTGCCAGTGCCGATGCCATGCCTTAAACCACTTGCTTTGCTTCAACTCGACACAGGAAAAGAAATTTACGCGTCAAATGCCGCTCGCCTGGCCGTGGGCCGGGAAGCAGAAGTCAACGACACGAGCTCTCACGACGTTGGCTTTGTGACCTTTGGCACCTTTGGCAACGGCTACAAGCTCTGGGCCAAGTCTGATCGCGGTGCGCTTTTGATCCGATCTTGTCGCAAATCAAGTGGAGCGCCCATGATATAGCTGGTCTCGTGTCCCCTTTTGATTGTGTTTTTTTTTGGGCTGCACCTGTGGGGCCCCTTTGTCATCGCTTGGGTTAGGCAAGTACATGGAGCTGCTGACTACAGCCGCTCACTCCCTGGCCAAGCGCTACAACCCCGTCGTTGGCATGACCCGATCGTGGGGCGACATTGACGACAACACCAGCTTTGAGGTGTGACCCGTACATGCGCACACGTACAAGCACGCAGACCGCTGCTTGCGTTCCTGCCGCACTGGTTGTCAGTGCCTCACGCTTGCTGCCCCTCCCAGGTCATTATCGACAATTTGCTCAATCTTGAGCTCCTCTTCTGGGTTGGCTACGAAACGATGAACTACACGTTATTAGAAATGGCGGTAGGACCCCTGCACCCATGCACGCACGCCAAGGTGTAGTGGTGTTTGGCCTTCATGCCGATATGACCCCTATCCTAGATCTCGCATGTCGACAAGACTGCGGAATACTGGCTGCGATCAGACTTTTCTACCTACCACTTGGTGGTCTTCAACCCCAACAATGGCTCCGTTATCAGTCGCTCCGGTTGGTTGTGGTGCATCAACGCTGCACCTACCTTGAACCAAGCCCTGGGGCCTTGCCTGTTGCCTCCTGTATCTCATTGATTGGTGACAAAATGACCCGTTCTTGCAGGCACGCCACAGGGCATGGCCGTCAACTCAACCTGGGCCCGCGGTACGCGCTCGCATAGCATGAAGTTGCCACCAGATCTCCAAAAACTCACCGTGCTTTCCCCTCGCTACCGCTGCTCGCCCACCAGGCCAGGCGTGGGGCGTCTACGGCTTTACTATGGTGGGCTCCTACCCGCTCTTGATGCCCACTTCCTCGCGTCTATGCTCTGCATGTTGTCCAAGACAATGTCTCGAGCCAGTGGTGCTCACGTTGACGTTGATGATCATCAGGCGTACCGCTATGTCCAGGAGCCACGTTTCCTTGAGTATGCCCGGCAAGTGAGCGAGTACTGGCTTGCAGCCAACAATGCTGATCTAGTTCCCAACTGGGACTTCAACGCCCCTCTTCCCACTTATCGGTTCGTCCTCCATACTCGTGTGGAGCTTGAGCCCCAAACCCCAAGTTGCCACAGTCATGTAGCTAGCGCCCTCACTGATACTTTGCTGTGCTTCTTCCGTGCTCTCAGCGACACGTCTTCTGCGGCCATTGTGGCGTCGGGCTTTATCGAACTCGCCACCTACACCCAGGTACAGTGTTCTCCTCCCCGCCCCTCGCAGTCGTGGGAAAATGCCCCTCTTCCCTTTTAACATTAAACCATGATTGCTAAACCGAGCCATGCTGACCTCGCTATCCTGCTGTGGTCGACCACCTCAGAATCCCGTCTACCGAGAGCTGGCACAGGGCATCGTCGCGACGCTTGCCTCTGACGCCTATCTGGCACCCGAAAACTATCAGGCCATTTTACAGCGCAACGGTACGAACCGCTGCCGCCTATGCGTGTGTTCACCCCGGGCGTGTATGACAGCACGGCGTTGCCTCATGTCACAACTTGCTCGGCTAGGCCACGATTGCGTGTTGGCGGGCTGTACGGTGATTGAGACTGACTACTATTTTCTCGAGGCCATTCGACGCCTCAAGGGGGCTGATTTCTGATGTGCCGCATAATTTGCTTGCGTAGTCACGGCAGCGAACAACTTGGTCGCTTTCATGAACCGTCGTCTTTCCGTGTGCTCGACCTCGCCATTGATGTGTTTTTTTTCTCTTTTCGTCTTATTATCAATCCAATCCGCCTTGTTCATCATGAAGCGCTAATGAACGGCACCCTGGCCATCGGCTATCAAATTTTTGAATTGACATGTGAAGATAAAATGACAGCGCACTAGGGTGACAGTCGTGTACCTTGGCTTGCATGGAGCTTGGTAGTAAACCAAGGTCTGCTCAACTCGTCACCTGTTCAGCTCGACCAATGCCACAACTCGAACCCCAGCAGAGCATAGGCCACACCAAAAGAGCCTCAAAATACCTTAAAATTGACGCAAAATCAGTTGAAAATAATAGTCATCAACCTCTTGTCTAAAAAAAAAAAGAGAGTAACAGAGAGAGAGAGAGAGAGAGAATGAATTGGTTTGAGAGAGAGAGAGAGAGAGAGAGAGAGAGAGAGAGAGAGAGAGAGAGAGAGAGAGAGAGAGAGAGAGAGAGAGAGAGAGAGAGAGAGATGAATTGGTTTGGTCGGTTTGAGAAAGAGAGAAGTAAAAAAGCACAACTAGTGAGAGAGAGAGAGAGAGAGAAAGAGAGAGAGAGAGAGAGAGAGAGAGAGAGAGAGAGAGAGAGAGAGAGAGAGAGAGAGAGATTCGTTCACAGTTTATTCTCTTTCGTCTGGTTGACTTTCTTGACATCAGGCACCATGAGCGAGAAGGTGCGTGCTAGTCTAGAGCCCCAGCGCTGCCGACCGGTGTCAAACCGAGTAACATGGACTAGGCCGTGGTTCTGGGTGAAGGGAGTGTCAGTCGTCCTTGTTCATGGCTCGTGTTCTCACACAACTGCCTCTGTGACCGTCCTTGTGCTGTGGCATTCGGGTTTGGGTTCGGGTCGGCCCCTGTTCATCTCGGTTGTGACCGTTTGTCCACTGACCGTCTACGGGTCGGTGAAAATGCAGAGCGATGAGCCAGAACAAACCCATCCCGGTAAGGCGGTCGATTTATAGATATGTGCTCCCTGGACCGGCAATAACACAATCGACGGCCTGCGCAGCTCCGTTCTACTTTGCTCGCATCTCACGACCACCACATGTTCCATTTCCGTAGCTAAGCGGGTCAAGCAGAACGAGGAGCCCGCGTCAAGCGGCGCCGGCGCCACCCCATCTCTTTTGAGGTACGGTCATGTTGAAGCAAGGGGTTGAGAACAGCAAAAAACCAGAGCTTGCGCGCCGAACCATGGCTTGCCCGACCGCAACCTACGACCATCGCCTTGTCCCCGCCACCCAACCCTGACCCATCCGGCGCATCGGCCCACAGTTCCTGGGAGAATGCTGCCAAGGGCTTTTCTGCCTGGCAGGGATCAAAGGGCGCTTCCAGCCTTTCAGCATGGGGCAGTGGTATCAAGCTCTCCAAAACAGCGGAAGATGCAGCCCAAAAGGTGGCCGCCACCTGGGGCACAAGCAGTAAAAGCGGTGCGGCCTGCGCGCCTCGCCTGTGTTGACTCAGCGTCTCGCTTGCTTGCCAACGGCGGTGATGCTTGTGCGCTTATTATGCATCTTATGCACTGGCATGCATTCTTCGCACACTTGGGTGCTGCACACAGGCTTTGGCGCCGCTGCCAGTGGCACTAGCGGCTTTGCCAACGTTGCCAAAGGTGTGCTCAGCGTGCTGTCGCGGCAGAGCTCGTTCACCAGGCCTAGCCTTGTTCCGCCTAGCCTTGTTCCGCCTATCCACTCGTCAGATTCTGGTTCTCAAGAAGCATTGTTGTCACTGGGCTAGGCTTTGGCACGTTCGGTAGTGGCACATTTGCTGGATCAGGTAGCAAAGCAGATGACAAGGAAAAGACTGAAGGTACCACTTTTGAGGAAGGTGAGCGGAGGCCAATCACAACGGTTGCTCGATGAAGATGCCAGAAAGAGATGTCCACTCTTTAGTTGCACTCTCTCACTCTTTCTCATGACTGGCATTGTTGTTGTCATACCTCTTTTTGGTGGCGGCGCTGGGGGGTTTCGGGGTGGGTGATGTGCTGCATGCAGCTGGCAACACGGAACAGGGCAGCTTCTTGAAGAAGACAGTGACCAGCACCAAACCAACGAGTAAGAACTGATCAATGGCTTGTACATGAGCATGTTCTGACAACACGAATAATCTTACGCCGGCACACAGCGCACCAGTTGCTCATTATGATTCCCTGTCTCGACAGTTGACTTGATGGACTCGGATGACATCAAGACAGGCGAGGAAGAAGAACGCAAACTGGAAACGGTGTGTCACGCACTACCGCACGATGAGGATGCGCCGGGCTTTATATCCTCTTCACAGCCCCTGCTAACCTGCGTGTTGGGGTACTCACTTTCCACTGACAGGTGCACTGCAAGCTGTATGCGCTCGTCAAGGGCAAGGATGGCAACAGCGAGTGGAAAGAGCGAGGAGTGGGTACCTGCTCTCTCAATCAAATGGGAGACGACAAGCAGAGCCGGCGCTTGGGTAAGCGAGAATTGCAAAACAGCCTGTGGGAAGCGCAGAATCGTGCTGGGATGGATCTAGCCTAGGACGACCTGTCGCGCACCCGCGCCTCTGTCAACCCTCTTCTGACCACCTCATTTCCTCCAAAAAACCACTTTCCACTGTTGCATCAGTCATGCGCGCAGATACGACAAAGCGACTTCTTATGAACGCGACCGCTTCCACGGCAGCAGCGCCCACGCGCACGAGCGATCGCGTGAGTTGTTTTTGCGTCATCTCCAATAGTCGGAGCGATGCAGTGGTGTGCTTCTTTGAATCATGTGGCCATTGCTATTGACCTTGTTTTTTTTTTTTGATGCAGCTGTTCAGCCTGACGCTGGTCAACCATGCCGAGACCAAAGCCGAGGCGGGTGAGGCGGACAGCATGGGGCTTCAGCCTTACATGATCAAGGTGCGGCTATCCAGCCGCGTGTACTTATGAAAGCGTTCATGCATGAACGCAACATGCAAATGACTACTCTGATTCGGGCAAACGGTGTGTGCATAGGTTGGCGCGAAGAGCACACAAATTCTGGATCGGTTGATCAAGTACATTTCCGAGGTGTGTCAGAAACCTTCATCATCAACGACTAAATCTGCTGGTGAGAGCTCCAAGGAGGAGACCAAGGAGGAGACCAAGGAGGAGACCAAGGAGGAGGCCAAGGAGGAGGCCAAGGAGGAGACCAAGGAAGAGACCAAGGAAGAGACCAAGGAAGAGAAGGAAGAGAACAAGGAAGAGGCCAAGGCAGAGGCCTAATTGATCTTGGCACGCCAATTTCTACCATTCTCCGTCTTTAGCGCGTGTGAGAACGCTACAAAACAAGAGATTCAAGCCAAACTTGATACCAAACCTGGCTCGCTGTGACGAGAGGCATGCGTCCTTGTGAGTTGAGAACTGATGACCATGAGTGTTGCGTATGTCGGATTCTTGAGTCGAGCCGGAAGCAACAGCACTGAGATTCAAATGCAAGATAATGTCCAGTCATCAGTCATAACGTTTGAAAGCAGCCCACCTGTCATTGTTTTTTACTCAAGGGGTTGAACGAATACTTTTGCACAGGCTTTGTGTAGCAAGCAGGTATCTATATGTGTGTGCGTGTGTGTGTACGGGGACACAACGGGTCACAATGTGGATGCCGGTCGGATGCAGGGTTTTACGGTCTTGCGGCATTGCAACACACAGGGCAAAAAAGGGCACCAAATTTGTTGATTGGACGTCGTCAGCGATGAAAGAAAAGTGGTGTCGATTTACATGTGAACGGGTCAAACAGTCGAGGAAGACAAGGAAGGTCGCTTGCAAAGCAAGCCGGTCGGACACGGAGAAGGATGAGGATAGGGGCAGGGGTTCATGTTAATAAGGCAGCGAGCTGGCCAAGGCTCAAGCACCAATGGAGGTCGCAGGTTTCGACGCAGTCGAGGCCCGGTACCACAGGCTGGAGCATTGGAACGATAAATCTCTGGGCCAAATCGAAGATCTAGCACCAGAACTCAAGGCAAGGTATCAGGAAAACTCAAGATGTAACCTTCGAGGTGAAGGCGGGGCACGGCGGTAGGCTTTAAGAGGGACGGCCTTGCAGTCCCGCTGTCAGCGCAGAGGACAACTGGGCGGAAAAGGCGTGTTCCTCATTGCTGGAATTGGGTCGCCATTGCTCGCGAAAACGCTGATTGGCCTCGACCTCGTCCTCGTTGGGTTCATACTCAACGTAGTCTTCACCTGTGGCCACGTCTTCAAAAACTTCAGCCTCGCTTGCCAAGGTGCGCTGTCCCAGCGGAATTTCGAATCGCTCGCGGGCTCTGCAAAACGACGGGACACAATGAATATCTGAGAAGAGCCTTGCGCCGTAATACAAGGAGGGGAGAGATTCTGACGCGCAATCGCTCAATTCGGGATGATAGCAGGCAAGATGCTTGATTTGTCGGACCGACCTGGGCTCTGGAGTTTGGCGGAGAGCGTCGCGAGCATCGACGACGCACCACTCTGAAGAGACGGACTCGTTGAGGCGATCGGCTGAGTGGGTCTCGTCATCTTCATCCTCGTCCAAAGTCTTGTCGATCGGGATCGAGTCTGCTTTGGCGGTGCGCGAAGCTTGTTCTTTGGGATGCTGGCGGGCGGTGGTGGGGTCAGCGCGATCGTTCTGGTTGAGGAGTCGGCAAAGTCGATGTTGTTCGCGGTACACCAGCCAAACAGCGGCGGCGGTCAAGGCCAGGCCGGAGACGGTGAGAAGCGTTCCGGTGTGTGATGAGGGCGCCATCGTCCACAGCCGTGTGGTGCAAAGACGAAAAAGGGAAAGTCGATCCGGCTTGGAATCCGACGTGCAGAGCGTGGTCGCTCGGAAGTCTGCGCGCTGGGATGATTAGGCAATCTGCCAGCTAGCTGGACCCGCCTTGAAATCTGTTCAGTAAAACGAAATTCAGCAAGTGTGCGACGGGAAGTGGGCGTGGTCTCTAGTGGATCGTCGCGGGCCAATTACAGCCAAAAATGATGAGAGAGAGAGAGAGAGATTGAGAGAGAGAGAGAGAGAGAGAGAGAGGACCTGTCCTTGACGAGCAGCAGTCAGAGACACGCTCACTCACATCAAAAATGGCAGACAAGAACAAAACGAGAGAGAGAGAGAGAGTTTGAGAGAGAGAATTTGAGAGAGAGAGAGAGTTTGTGCGTTTGTGTTTTTTTTAAAGGGAGTTTAGGAGCAGCAGCAGTAGCAGCACACAAACTCTCACACACACTCAAGATACTTAAACAACTGCCCCCCGACGAGCGATACAGGTGCTGCTTCGATTGGTTTGCTTGCGTTGTCTGTCATAAACCAAGGGTCCATGCGACAGTGCGCACGCGAAAGGGGTCAAGAAGCAATACACACGCATACAAGCTGGCCGTGCAAAGAGGGTGCGATCCCACCCATGTTTGTGTCAAGCCGTACAGACCTGTATCAAGGGCTCCACCCACGACACGCACCCGTACACCCAATAAACAGCAGGATGAACATGTTGTGGCCCTGCAAAAGCCGCATCTCAGCAAGCATGCAACGTCGGAGTTGTGCGAGAGAGCGTCGAGAACATGAGCAATAGCGTGATGAGGAGGAACCATAAGATTGTCAGACAAGTGTTGTTGGGTTGAGTTTGGTGAGGAGGTTCAGCTCGTTTGTGGCACCGAGGCAGACGTGCCTGAGTCTGTACGCTGAGTACAATGACAGGTGCAAAATCAAAAGGGAGTTGTCTCGATAAATCGATTGCGCAAAACAACAAGCGAGCGCGCCTGCTATCTCAGAGAACATCCCGAGATTGAGCGGGCAGCAGGCTCAAAAATATCGCAAAACACATCCAAAAAGAAAAGATCGGCACAGGGCGGCCACGACTCGTGACTAGGGCGCTGGATGACTAAAAGAAAACCAAAAGGAGAAGAAAAAGAGCAGAAAAGGACCGGGACTCTTCATACCAAGACATGCACATAAAGGTCAAATAAAAAAAGAGTGAAAATAAAATAGATGAGCGCCTAACGCTTAGCGTCAAATGGGTAGTTTACACCCAAGTGATGCGGACGTGCAGGGGCTCATCCAGAGGCATGACTTGGTCTTCTTCAACGGCCTTGCCAAAGAGAGCAAGGTCGGCCGTGGCAAAGGCATCGCGAGCGTCAAAGTCGTTTTCGGCCATCTCGATGGCAGCCTCGCCCACGGGGCTGTCACAAGAGGAGAGGGAGCCGCGAAGGTCCACATCATCATCCTCCAGGTCCATCATCGAGTCGTTTGCATCGACATCGGCCATCAATGCGTGGGCGTGAGCCGTCACCAGCTGCATGTCCTCGTCGTCTGCGGCAGATACGGCAGAGTATACCACGGCATTGTCCTCGAGCACCTCAACCTTGGGGTGCAAGAGCTGCTCACGCCAATCTGCGCGGAGCTGCATGTCGTGTGGGCGGAGGGGTGCCAGGGCATGGGCCGAGTGCGAGTCGAGAAACCAAGAGCGCTGCAGGAAAGACAGCACGCGCTCCCAAATTTCGGTAGGCAAGTAGGGAAGAGTGGGGTGTTGATCCAGCTCTTTCTTGAGCCAGAGCATGTACATGACTCCCCGCTTGAAGGTGTCGCCAAAAAGCATGTGCCGGGATGGATGCCAGGGACGTTGGGCTTCTTGAAGCAGGTGGAGGAGGTCCACGTCGACCTCGAGAGCACCGGGGTAGGAGGCTACACGTCCAGCCAAGGCCAGTGGCGCACTTTGCTCATCTCCGCTGGTGCCAAGGTCAACACCGGCAAGCAGCAGCTCATGGACACGGTCCGTCTCACGGGCATCAATGGCCACCTGCAGTGGGTTGAAGGCCGCCACGTGCTCGAGATAGGCGACGATCTCAGGAAAGTCCATGGCAAGAACCGTGGCCTGGCTGCGATAGCGTGAGGTACGGGCGTGGAGGTTGGCGCCGTGGGCAGCCAGGTACCGCACGACCTCATAATGGCCACGTTGTGCGGCCAGAAGAAGCGGGGTATAGCCACCCTCGTCTGTCTCCTCGAGGCCCTTGGTGCCAACGTACTTGTGGACCAGCTTGACTGTCTCAATGTGGCCACCGTTGGCAGCCGAGATGAGGATACCCATACCGGTGCGGTTGCGCTCATGCAAATTGGCACCACGGGCAATGAGGGCCTCGACCAGCTTGGAATGGCCACAGTAGGCGGCGAGGAGCAGGCAGGTGTCGCCGTTGCTGTTGCGCTCCTCAATGTTAGCGCCGTGCTGCAGCAGGTAATCAACAAACTCGACGTTGCCCGAGCATGCAGCGAGAATGAGGGCCGTGTAGCCATCGTTGTCCTTCTCCGAGATGGAGGCACCGTGGCGAAGGAGCCAGTCGGTCATCTTCAACTGCACGCCGTTGGCGGCGCTGAGCAGAGCGGTAAAGCCACATTGGTTACGTTCCAGCAAGGAGGCGCCAAGTTCCAGCAGACGCTTGACGAGGCGAATGTGGCCGCCGTAGGCTGCCAACAGCAGCGCTGTGTCACCGTTGCTGTTTTGGGCGCTGAGTTCAAAACCGCGGGCCAGGAGCCAGTCAACGACCTCCACCTGGCCACCGTTGGCGGCGCTGAGAAAGACGTTGTGTCCGTTGTTGTTGACTTCGTCCAGGTTGGCACCACGACTGAGGAGAAACTGCATCAGTTCAAGGTGGCCACCCCAAGCGGCGAAGAGGAGCGGGGTATTGCCGTCACTGTCCGTCTCGACGAGGGAATGGCCTTGGTCAAGGAGCCACTCGACCAGGTGACGGTGACCACCGCAAGCCGCTTGCAGAATAGGGGTGTGGCCCTTGTTGTTGCGTTCAAAGAGGGTGCGGCCTCGACGCACAAGTTCATCCACGACATCGCGATGACCGCCGTAGATGGCGTAGAGGAGTGGGGTGTTGCCGACAATGTCGGTGCAGCCGGGATCGGCGTGGTGCTCGTCGAGCAAGAAGCGCACGAGCTGCAAGTTACCGCCCCAGCTGGCGTAATGCTGTCAAAGGGACACGAGTATTGAAAGATCAATAGTGAGCGACAGAACGCAAGCCGAGTACGGGGGCGAGTGACTGGGAGGCACAGGAGAAACACAGCAAACGCACCAGAGCATTGCCGCGGCGCTTGGGGTCAAGGTCGGTATCGTCAATGCTAGCTCCGCGTTCAAGAAGAAATTTGACGAGTTGAAGATCGCCACGTTTTGAAGCAATCTGCAGCGGGGTGCAGCCGTCGCTGCTGTGGGCACGGAGCATTTTGTTGCCGTGCATGTGCATGAGGGTCTTGACGGTGAAGAGATCGCCGTGCGAGCACGCCTGGAGCATCCAGGACGCAGATCGGGAACACACGCGAAGCGTCATGCTTGTGTGGTCCAAGAGGAAAAAGCAGAGAGAAGGAAAAAAAAATGGGGTGCTCGTCGAATCAAGGTCAGATGACCAGGATCGAAATCAGAAAAGGGCAGTCCCAAAAAGGGGGAAAAACGTCAACGAGTGTCCGAGGTCAAGTCGAGAACTTGGCGTTGAAAGGTGGCAGGGGGGGTGGTGGTGAAGGGTTGTTGTCGGAAACGCTGTTGTGATGCGGTTTGACAGCAATATGTCAACGGGGATCTCCGTCGACTAGGTGGGGTCTGGGGGGAAAGGTTGATGGGGGATGATCGGCAAAAGGCTTGTAAAACCCTCGATGGGTTCTTCAAGCAAGAAGGTTGGTCGAAAGGTGGTAGGTAAGAAAGAAACGACTGACAGCTGAGGCTGCCAAATTGAGGAGGAGGGTGGCGAGTCGAAGAGGCAGAATGGAAGGAAGGGTGGGGGTCAAACTCGTGTTGACCTGCCCAGGTGGAAAAAATGAGCAAGTGAGTGCCTGGCACGCGTTTGTGTGCGAGGCAGGCAGGGGAACAGCAAGTGATGTGACTTGACTATGAAAAGCAGGCAGGGCCAACAGGCAAGGCGCTGGGAGAGGGCAGAGGTTGCGAGGGAAACAACCGCCGAAAGGAATGATGTCCAAAGAATCTCAAGAGTGACCTCAAGGCCAACCGACAGGCTTTGATTGAATGCTTGTGAGGGGAATAGGTGGTGATTGGCAGTGCAAGGGGGGAGGGG